GAAAGCTGTGGAGAGCCACGATCATCCAGGTCCTAAAGGTTCACGACACATAGAAGAAGAAAAAGAAGAAGAAGAAGAAGAAGAAGAAGAAGAAGAAGAATCGTGAGATTGGGTAAATAGATGGCAGAATAAAGATTAGGAGAATAATCAAAAATTCAAATTTTATTAAAGGCTACAAAGGAGAGGAAGTTGTGGCGAGCCACAATTACCCATGTCCTCGAGGGACACAGAACATAGAAGATTAACCACGAGCTTGCGTAAATAGTTCACAGAACAGGAAAAGGAGAAAGATCAAAAATTCAAAATTTAGTAAAGGATACCAAGGAGAGGAAGCTGTGGAGAGTCACGATCACTTAGGTCCTAAAGGTTCACGACACATAGAAGAAGAAGAAGCACGAGATTGGGCAAATCTTTGGCAGAACAGAGATTAGAATATAATCAGAAATTCAAAATTTATTAAAGGCTACAAGGGGAGAGGATGTCGTGGAGAGCCACGATCACCTACGTCCTGAAGAGACACGGCACATAAAAGATTAAACACGGGCTTGTGTAAATAGTTGGTGGAACAGGGATTAGTAGAATGATCAATAACTCAAATTTTAGTAAAGGATACCAAGGAGAGGAAGCTGTGGAGGGCCACGATTATCCAGGTCCTAAAGGGACACGACACATAGAAGAAAAAGAAGAAGAAGAAGGACGAGATTGGGTAAATAGCTGACAGAAAAGAGATTAGGAAAGAGAAGAAAAATACAAATTTACTAAAGGCCACAAAGGAGAGGAAGTTGTGGAGAGCCATGATCGCCCACGTCCTGAAGTGAAACGGCACATAGAAAAATGTGTCTCAAGTGATTTCCGTTATTCTTAGATGGCGACCCAGCTTATTACTGTTAAGTTTCAACGTTGCTTAACCGGATCAACCAGAGTTTGGTGTTTTCATATCAGTCAGTTAAGTGCCATGCGTGATACACGCTTAGGCGATCATGTATCTTTCGATACATGACTGACGAGGGAGATTCTTTTTTTCTTCCCGCAGTAGGTTGCCATTTCTTTCTGCGATAGGAGAGAAGAAGAGGATTCATACCTTTCCCAAGGGTATTAGCACGTCAGTCAGTCAGTTATGTGCCATGCGTGATACAACCTTAGGCGATCATGTATCTTTCGATATATGACTGAAGATGCAGATTTTTTTTTCCCGCAGAAGGTTTCCATTTCTTTCTGCGTTAGGCCAGTTGCCATCCAAGGCTATAGAATCCAGTCTTTCCTGCTATTTAACCATAGCTGAGGGGAGAAGAAGAGGATTCATACCTTTCCCAAGGGTATTAGCACGTAAGTGAATGTAATGGATTGGACTGGAATTCGAATCCTCAATCGAAGCCGCTATCCATTACTCCACCGTGTTTTCATATAGTTTATTTATTTATTTATTTATTATTTATTTATTTATTATTATTATTATTATTATTATTATTATCATTATTATTTTTATTTCTGCTATGGATTATTATTGTCATCATCATCATTTCGATTTCGGGAAGACCTACTAAGGCGGAAAAAACCTAAGGAATATGAGGTGTGTTGTTATGGCCACATTTCATGTTAATTTTTTTTTTTTTTTTTTTTTTTGAAAGTTGCTAGCGTTACATAGACAAAAATTCTCCTTAGTATTATTATTATTATTATTATTATTATTATTATTATTATAATAATAATAATAATAAGAATTAGAAGAAGAAGAAGAAAGAAAAAACTTGGTGAGTCTAGCAGAAGTCCTCCAGTTCATTCGTTCACATGGCTCTCTTGGAGATACTAGTTGTCATTTAATACATCCCTTAGAACTGTCATCTAGAAATTTACTATTGTCGTCTAGCAATTTCTCGCCATTGTTCCTCCCTTTGGGTAAAATACCCTCTTAAGATTTCAACAAAACGTCCTGGGAGCCAAGCGATTCCGGTCTGGGTAAAAACATTTATGGTTTGGTTGAATATCAGGTGTACCCGGAAAAAAAATGTTTCATATCATTGGAAGCAGAACTTTATAGCCTGCAAGAAAATAAAAACGCTGCTATGATCCTCCTTGGGAAATGTATTTTAAGGCCGTTTTTTTCTGAGCACAAAAAAAAAAACACGTACTATAAAGAGAATCACGGTTCTAAGTCGCTTGAGAGAAGAGAGGAGGAGAAGAGACTAAGCATAAACTACAAGAATGAGTGCGTGGTCATCAGTAAAAAGTGTGTGACACTGAGATCCGAAGACGTATTGGGATGGCCAAAGACGCATTCCAAAAATAAGCAGAGTATTAAGAGACTGGAAATTTTCGTCAGGAAAAAAGAAAAGAGTACTGAACTGCTACGTGACATCTGTCCTCTTTTACGACAGCGAATGTTGGACAATCTCCTTAAAGACGAAAAAGTGACCTGAAGCAATAGAAACAAAGTAAAGAGTACCGAATCGTTACGTGATATCTGACCTCTTTTACGGCTGAGGATGTTGGACATTTTCCTCAAAGATGAAGAAGAGACTTGAAGCAATAGAAACAAAGAAAAGTGTACAGAATTGTTACGTGATATCTGTCCTCTTTTACGACAGCGAATGTTGGACAATCTCCTCAAAGATGAAGAAGAGACTTGAAGCAATGGAAACAAAGTAAAGAGTACTGAATCGTTACATGATATCTGTCCTCTTTTACGGCTGACGATGTTGGACAATTTCCTCGAAGATGAAGAAGTGACTTGAAGCAATAGAAACAAAGAAAAGTGTACTGAATTGCTACGTGATATCTATCGTCTTTTACGGCAGAGGATGTTGGACAATCTCCTCAAAGATGAAGAAAAAAATCGAAACAACGTAAATGTAGTTCTATAGAAGGATGCTGAGGGTATCATCTGCCGAAAATCCGAGCTACGACCAGGTTTTGATGGGTGTGCAAACAAAGAAGAAATTTATATTTAACATCACGGAGCGATAGCTGAAATTTCCTGGGACACGTAAAGAGAAGGGAAGGCTTGCGTAAGTCGATGTCACAACAGAGACCCGGAGATATAACAAAAAGTGAGAGATAGAAAGAGCTACAAAGGACAACACGAGGCGTATTTAATTCAAACCGCAAATAAATCCGTAACAAGAACAAAAATCTAAAAAGTCAACTAAAGATAATTAATTATTTCAGTGAATGCCATGTTAGTAGCGCGGCTCGGCTTAACATCCGGTAAATCCTAAATCCAAACACAAATCATCAACGCACAATAATTCACACTAATTCGACTAGATAGTTCCACTCAATACTCACTCCAGTCAGTAGCCTGACACCGCTATTTATACACCTGGCGGAAAACATATATTCATAAATCCAGAGTGTCATGTTCGAACCTCGGTGTTGGCAGTTACTCATTATATGATAAATATAATCTATAATTCTTCTGATATAGTTTTCTTCCTATATGACAAATATAATCTATAATCCATATAAAGAATATGAATGAGATAGCGCCTTCATATTCTTGAGCAACCAAAATATCGAAAAAGCAACAGTGAAATCTCGGTGTCACACACTCTGTCCGCAAATTGCTTTACGGGCCCACTACATACAGCTGTGAGGAGAAAATTTATCGACGCTCTGCTTCCAGCAGATGCTGTCCAATTGATCTCTCGGCTATCGGACACAGCTGACTCAAATGAAGGAGAGATTACTTTCGGCATGGAAGAGGAATTTACTTCTGTGGAGGGAATAGATCCGAGCTTCTAAGTATTAAAGTGACACTTGAGAGCAGATGTGGTTCAACATAATTTTTCTAGTGTGGTGAAAGCCCATTTCCCCGATGAACTAGAACAAGCCGAAGTGGATCAAATAAACGATTTGTACAATAAACCCTAAGCCTTGACGTTGCCTTACATTCGAAGACGCAAACGTATTTTTCAGGGCATATTTTTAGGTAAAAAAAAGTGAGTCTTGTAAGCCGGAAAATAAGGTAAAGGATTTGTACAATAAACTCCAAGAACACGAGATCGGTGCTGATGACACTGGCTAATCTTCAGCCCCGGTGAAACTGAAGAGAGTGCTCGACACTCTAATGCCTTAACTCAGGAGAAAATCAAGAACAGCAAAATTATAGCTGGCCGATATTAGCTGAAAAGTTGCATAAAATCGTAGAAAGCCGAGGACTATGCTGACTGAATAACGATGCTATGAATTTATATGAATGAAAAATTTAGTTGAAGACATGCTGATGGTGTTGAATTGAATAATAATTTCCGTATTTTCCGGCTTGGAAGAAGCACCTTAGTATTGGAAATAAATTTCTAAAAAAAAAAAAAGTTATTCTCATACAACAACACCTTCACCATACGTCACTCAAATACTGGCGCCATGTATTGTTTACATTAATCACTCGTCCGATTTTGTTTGTATGACAATGACATACTAGACAAAAGGCTCCCGCCGTTGCTAGTAAACAGAGCATGTTTAAGATTGTGGCTCGGCTCCAGGAAGGTTTATAGTCTTGGAAATACCTGTAACAGATAAGTAATGAGATTAGATCATGTAAATGGCTGAATTCGATAGAAAGATAACATTATAATGTAATGACTGAACATACAAATCCACTTCCCCATCTATTAAGCCAATTAGATGATAGTCCAACAAGCTTACTTGAGTCTGGGCGTTGCCTTACATTCGTCTTGCAAGACGCACACGTATTTTTCAGGGCATAATTTTGGGGAAAAAAAGTGAGTCTTGTAAACCGGGAAATCCGGTAAACAACTTGTACAATAAACTCCAGGCGCACGAGATCGGTGCTAATGACATTGGCTAATCTTCAGCCCCGGTGAAGCTGAAGAGAGTGCTCGACACTCTGAGGCCTGAACTCAGGAGAAAATCAAGAACAGTAAAGTTATGGCTGGCCGATATTAGCTGAAAGGTTGTATATGATCGTAGAAAGCCGGAAACTATGTTGACTGAATAAACGATGCTATGAATTTATATAAATGAAACATTTCGCCGAAGACATGCTGGTGGTGTTGAATCGGATAATAATTACATATGTCCTTCGTTCTTTCACGTTGTCTCCTACGGTAGGCCAACAGAGACGCCCTTCACTCACTCTCTCACAATTCTTCTGTCATTATTTCGCTCAATGTCGGCCTGAATCAAGCCAACGTCAGCTTGACCCAGATGTCTACTCTTCGCCATCGGTTAACGTCCGTATCGATGTGCTTTTTTTTATCTTCTCTGTCCGCCTTCCCTTTCCATCCATCAATTGGAGAAGTAGAAAACAAGAAGACCAAGGTTTGATCTGTCATTTGTCCCGTTAAAGTGTTTGCTCTTTCGGTCATACGCCATGACGGTCTGTCGGAATGGAAGATGTCGATTGTCTTGTTCAAGAAATTATCGGGGAAAACGAAGGATTTTGCCGCTCAAAATAATTATCTAACATCTAAACGCATTGCAAGCTGATGAAATGGTTTGTGAGCAGAAAGAGTTATGAATATAAACTGTTTTATATTTCTTTCTTTCTTTCTTTCTTTCCTTCCTTCCTTCCTTCCTTGCTTCCTTTCTTTTTTCTTTCTTTCTTTCTCTCTTTCCTTCCTTTCTTCTATCTAATTATCTATCTATCATAATCCGTTCATATCTATCTATCTATCTATCTATCTATCTATCTATCTATCTCCGTCTGTTCCCATTTATCTCAGTCCGTTCAATATCTATTTATCTATCTATCTATCATCGTCTCTTTCTTTCTATCATCGTTTCCTTCTTTCTTTCTTTCTTTCTTTCTTTCTTTCTTTCCTTCCTTCCTTTCTTCTATCTATCTATCTATCTATCTATCTATCTATCTATCTATCATAATCCGTTCATATCTATCTATATTTTTGTATTGGGATTCAGAACCTTCCCCATCATTTCACACCATCGTCAGATTTACGTATATATATATATATATATATATATATATATATATATATATATATATATATATTATGAACATTTGTAGATAAGAGATTTTAAACCATGGGGATAATTTTTAGGTCCCTTTTTGAATGTGGTATCGTGGTATATGTAGGAGTAAAAGATGAAGGGGGAATTCAATGGGTTATTTGTATGGAATGAATGGGTCGTGAATCGGGTTAGCTAGGTAGAGGATAGGTAAGGATGACCAAACTTAACCCCAACCCCCACTTTAAGGCCATGTGCCACAATTATTGTATTTTGCAATAATAAATAGTATCTATCTATCTATCTATCAATCTATCTGAAACCGCTAATATTTATCTATTTATCTATCTATTTATCTATTATAATCCGTTCATATCTATCTATCTATCATAATCCGTTCACTTCTATCTATCTATCTATCTATCTATCTATCTATTTCAAACCGCTAATATCTATCTATCTATCTATCTGAAACCGCTAATATCTATTTATCTATCTATCTATCTATCATAATCCGTTCATATCTATCTATCTATCTATCTATCATAATCCGTTCACTTCTATCTATCTATCTATCTATCTATCATAATCCGTTCACTTCTATCTATCTATCTATCTATCTATCTATCTATCTATTTCAAACCGCTAATATCTATCTATCTATCTGAAACCGCTAATATCTATCTATTTATCTATCTATCTATCATAATCCGTTCATATCTATCTATCTATCTATCTATCTATCTATCTATCTATCATAATCCGTTCACTTCTATCTATCTATCTATCTATCATAATTCGTTCACATCTATCTATCTATCTATCTATCTATTTATCATAACCCGTTTATATCTCTCTATCTCAAAGCTCTAATATCTTTCTTTCTTTCTTTCTTTCTGTTCATATCTATCAGTCTATCTATCCACCTATCTATCAATCTGTCCACGGGTTCAGAGAATTGTTTCTCGTCGTTGTTGATTACTCTTTCATGCGCCTTCGTCTTTCGCCACTAAACTCTGTCACTTATCTCTTTTCTCCTTCATGTCCCCCTTCTTCACATGAGTGCCGCATATTAGACCCAACGGCTGAAAAAAAAGGCACATTCTCTCCATCCATCTGTGAGCAACTTTGTCTTCGGTAACCTTAATGCTAATCCCGACACGTGGCTAACGCGTTCTAAAGGGATAGATATTGTCGGTATACAGATAACTTTTTCCATTGCCCAATCCCTCATCCAAATCGTGGATTTCCCCACTCGTTTCCCTAGCTAAGCAGGCTTCTCTGTTGGATCTATTTCTTACCTTCTCTTCCGCTCTTGCCTCGCTTCACAATACTGTTCTCTTCGTAACTCTGACCCCTCTGTGGTAGCTAATATTACTCCTTCCAAGCACTCTTAAAGAGGAACTCCCTATCCACAAACCTTCTTTTCGTTACCAGCATGCTGATTGGGACTCATTCTCAGATTTTCTTCGTTACGCCCTTTGGACTGACATTTTCAACCTCCCAATAGAAATATGCGCGACTTGGTTCAAAGCAGGCATGAACACTTTCATCCCTGCTCGGAAATACCAGGTGAAGACGCGTAAGACGATAAACTTCGTCCAACAGCAAGGCCTCTGATCAAGAGGTTTTGAGGAGCATGGAACCACCTCTTAATTGCTGGTGTATCCAGGTCCATCCTTACCCGGGGTGGTAGCACCTGTTAGGGTCCCAGCTATGGGAAAATAGTTGACCAGCAAACTGAGGTCAAAACGCTATGAAAGTGTAAAAATAGGTTTTATTACAAGATATACTTTGTAAAAAATTATTACCAGCAATAAATTTTTGAAGAAAAATTATTGCCAGCAATACATTTCTGAAAAAAAAAATTTACCAGCTCCACATTTTTAAAAATCCCAAAAATTACCAGCAATACACATTTTTTGAGACTTCGATTTCAAGGTTCTTGTATTTTGATATCTTTTTGTAGATCTTCAAAGATACATTGCAGTCTGTCGGGACTGTCATATCAATAAAGAGGCAATTTTTTGTTTGTGGTCTCTAATAACGATGTCTGGGCGATTTGCTTTGATTGTTCTGCCAGTGTGTATTGTGTAGCCCCATACAATTGTTACAGGTCATATCTCCGTAACCGGGTTATTATTATTATTATTATTATTATTATTATTATTATTATTTCCTTTGATTTCTGTTGGATACTTGTTTCTTTCTGGGCCCCGATCAGAGACCTAAGATCTGAAATGGCATCATGATAATTTCCACTATCAATTAAAAAAATATATATATATTACATAGATAAAGCCTTTCGTAAGGTGTGGGCTGTACTCGTGAGAACATTTTTTGTATATCTTTAAGGCATGACACCAGGAATCCCTTCAATGAGTCTACTGGAATCTTTTCCAATCAATCCGAGGACTACAGCTACAACAGGGATTGTTGAAGTTATGTACCACTTTTTTGAGATTTGGATTTCAAGGTCCTTGTATTTTGATAGATTCGTTGCAGTCTAGAGAGACTGCCATATCAATAAGGAAGCATTTTTTCTGTTTGCAGACTCTAATAACAATGTTTGGAAGGTTGGCTTTGATTGTTCTGTCAGTGTGTATTGTGTAGTCCCATAAAATTGTAACAGGTCCTGTCTCCGTAACTGGGTCTAGGCGGTGTTCATACCAGTTTCTTTCAGTTTCCTTCCCGTAGAAGTTGCAGATTTTTCAATGCAAATATTGTCCACTCTGTCGTGCCGGGTTTTATATTCAGTGGGTGCCAATACCTTGCAACCTGATACAAGATGATCAATTGTTTCTGGGTATTTATCACAGAATCTCCATTTTGGGCTAACGCAATTTCTTAGTATGCGTGCTTGATAATTTCTAGTTAACAAGCATTGGTCCTGTGCAACAAGGATAAAACTTTCGGTGTCAGTTTTAACCCTGCACTACGTAGCCACGGATGGATACGGGGTTTGTCATCAGCTTTTTTTGATACATTGAAGATTTTTACATTGCCTTTACTGTAGCATTGCGTTTACAACTTATTTTCTTTTGTTTTTTTTAGTTTTTTTTTCCTACATTATATATTATATTGATTTTTCACTTTTCATCGACTTGAAATACTCTTTTGAATTTGTTGGCTTTATTACTGGACAAAATTTCTTATTTCTTTTATTTTCTCTGACACAAATCATCATGCAGTCTTCTGTAGTTCCCAGGTATCTTTGAAGACCAATTGTTGTAGTTTTGTAAGACAATTCTAGTTGAACTAATCCTCTGCCTCCTTCGGATCTGGGCACGTGGAGATGCAGCTTTTAACCCTGCCCAACAGGGCCACTGATGGATACGAGGGTTTGTTAACATCAGCTTGTTTGGTACGGACAGATTATTGACCATGAAGCGGTTTATCTTGACATCATTTATGTATCTGGTCGGTTGCTTTGTTTTTTTTTTTTTTTTTTTTTTTTTTTTTTTTTTTTTTTGTTTTTGTTTTTTTGGGGGGGTTTAAACGTCTAATTAATGATTTTACTAGAGAAATGAATCAGAAAACAAACAAAAAGTGCTTTCAATAGTCAGACAAATCTGAAAAAATAGAGTTAATGTATATATATATATATATATGTGTGTGTGTGTGTGTGTGTGTGTGTGTGTGTGTGTGTGTGTGTGTGTGTGTTGTGCAATTAAATTGTTAAGAAATCCTATTGAGGAACCTGTCCAAATATAATTTGCATCTACCACCTGTCATCAATGATGCAGGGTAAATTTTCTTTTTTACAACCATTGGACTGGACTGATTAACACGGTCAGAGGCAGCCAGCAACACAATGAGTTAAGACCGCAAAAGAAATACCCCCCAAAAAAAAAAGAATATTTATTTACGATTGCTCAGAACAATTTGCCTCCATGAGCATGAGCATTAGAACACGAGAGTGAGTCCTTCATTTCTTTTCCTTGTAGGCAAATATATATATATATATATATATATATATATATCAAGTCTGGACATAAGAACAAGTTTAAAATTCATGAAAAACTTGGCTTTGGGGAATATACACTTGTGTTCATTCGTTTATATATGTACGAGCATAGATAAAATACATGTATTATATATATATATATATATATATATATATATATATATATATATATATATATATTATCATTAATTTTTCAAGTGTAGACATAAGAACAAGTTTAAAATTTTGTCGAAAAATGTTAGTTAATGGGGAATATACACATCTTTGCGTTCATTGATTTATATCGGTACTGCCATATATATGGATAGATGTATATATATGTATATATATATATATATATATATATATATATATATATATTTCAATTGTAGACATAAGATACAGTTTAAAATTCGCTAAAAACGTTAACTTTCGGGAATATACATGTGTTCATTCGTTTATATATGTACTAGCATGTATATGGGTACCTGTATATATATATATATATATATATATATATATATATATAAAATTAGAACAATTTTAAAATTCGTGAAAAAACATTCGCTTTGCGGAATATACACATGATGTGTTCATTCGTTTATGTGGGTACTAGCATATATATGGGTATATATATATATATATATATATATATATATATATATATATATATATATAATTATTTTTTTCAAGTGTAGACAAAAGAAGAAGTATCAAATTCGTTAAAAAACTGTTCTACTTTAGGAAATACACACTTGAAATGTACATTCGTTTATTTGGGTGCTAGGTGTACATGGGTGCATAAATATATATATATATATATATATATATATATATATATATATATATATATACAGTGTAACCCTGATATAAGAGAAACCCGGATATAAAAGAGATTTTCTCTGGTCCCAAATTAGAGCCCATACTTACCTAAACAAAATAGACCAAACCCGGATATAAGAGAAACCCGGATATAAGAGACTTCTTCTCCGGTCCCGACAACTCTCTTATATCCGGGTTACAATTCTATGTACATTATCATTATTTATTTAATTTTAGACACAAGGACAATTTGTATTTTCCTAAAAACGTTGACTTTGGAGAATTTGAAGTGTTCATTCGTTTCATTAGTGGGTGTTAGCATATATATATATATATATATATATATATATATATATATATATATATTTGAAATAAAAAAATAATTATAATTTAGGCTCTACTTTTGTATTGAGCACTGTTTTTTAAAAATGAAACAAAAATACTCCGGATTATTTACCTAACGGTTCTTTTCTTATTTTTCTATATATTTGACCCTGATTTTACCAAAGGCTATATCCAAGGTCACAGCTACACACAAAAATACGAATGTCACCGCACTTCCTCGAAGATACATTAAAGCCCTAAAAGAATTAGCTAACAACAAAAACATCCATATATCTACTTCTGATAAGGTTGGGACAATTGTAATCATGGATAAACACATTATCTCCCTCTCTAGTTATCTCCCTATTTTTATCTCTCTC